TTAAAAAAAAAAAAAAAAAAAAAAAAACGGGACAAAAATGCAGAAACACGACCTATAAAGCCTATACAACGTAGCCACGCAAGGAATTCGGTTTCAGAGCGGAGACTTTTAACCTCTCAGCAAGAATTTGCGGTAAAATTCCAGGCTAGGCCGATCAAAGATTCGCGGTTGCAGGTAAAATCAATCCCAAGAATGTTGAGAGAGGATCGAACGATGCTGGTGATCGCCTCAATTTGGTTAACCATGGCTGCAGAGGGCAGAATCATCGCAATCTAGCAAGGCTACGTGCAGTTATGCGATACCATGGAATACCCCAAGTAGTTGACGTCGACCGCCGCGCCAGTGTGCCGATAACACGCGGCCCAAGAATCCGATCTGGTGTCCATAGACACCGTCATAGTTTACGTTCTTCGTGCCCTGGTGCTATCGGTACCCGCGGTTTTCCCCGCGCCAAGACGCACGATCATCAGTTAACGATAACGTCAATGTGCCAACAATTTGCCCGCAGGATCGCTCCTTTTCACCTGGCCACACTGTGGTAGTGTACGTGTCACTTCGTACATGTTCGGTTACGTGGATGTTGGAAGAGATTTCATGTGCATGGAATTGGTTATCAGCAACTCGGACAGAGGTAGATTGATTTTTATGAAACGAATGTTCGAAGGGTTTTGTGGAAATGATAATATTATGATTTTACGTGATTTTTTAATATCGGTCGTAGACTTTTTCCAACTATGGTATCAGGTTGGTTACCGAGTACTGTTGCGGGGATTATTTTATGAATAGGGATTTTTGCGTTGACAGTTTGAGCATTGGAAACCTAATAGTGACATTATAGGGATATTTCATGAGACTGGTTCTAAGTTGGGAATTAAGCGCGCCTTCAGTAGATTGCTTCATGAGCGAGCTTTCTCCTACGAACGATGGTACATTAAGCTAGTTTACAATTGAAAATTCAATAGTGATATTATAGGAACATTTCGTAAGAGTGGTTTTAATTTGTCAGCTAAGTGTATCTTAGTAGCGAAGAATTTGGTGCTGCCGTACTAGAGGTTATTTTGTAAGTATCGGAATTTTTTATATATAAACTTTGTTTATGAGCACTTACTCTGTTTCATCTTGAACGTCTTGGCAGCCTCCTTAACGCTGATCAAGCCAGTACAAGAGGCATCCTCACTTTGCGCCAAATTCCACGAATTGTTCGAAGTTTGTTCATAGATGAAGCATCTATAGCTGTCCTCGTCGCTAGTTTTCCGCGGAGCGTGCAACCTCGCCACTAGATTGTGCGTGCTGCTTTCCTTCCACGTGGCTAGGCACTCTAGTTCCACATCTTCAAACAAAATCAAACGTTACGTTGAATCGGGTGTACATTACTTTACTTCAATTACAAATCTTAACTCGCAAACCTTTTTAAGATAAGAGTAAAACCAAAATTTTAATTATCAAATCTCTGCCAAATGGGATTTCCGCAGAATTGTTTCCTAATTTATTCAAACTTGATCAAACTTCTTCAAACCTTAATTCGAAACACCATTAAACTATCCAATAGTAGAAGAAATAATACTTTTAAGCTATTTAAGTCGACTTTACGTCAAATCCTAACCTACAGAAATACTTCAAAGCTAGCAAGAAGAAAAGAAAATGATATTTTAGTTTTGTTTCAAGGCACTCAATGTCCTTGTACAAATTTCGGTCATCGAATAAAAATCCTCATCGTTGAATCATGAATCTTCTGACCACCATTAGCTTCCCCCAATTACACCGCGATGCATAACGATTCCAATTACGAGGAGGGCTAAATCGTCGGCGGAGAAAATTATGGACGGAAATATTCTAACCGTTAATAAACCGCACCGCAGCCGCGTAGAATGAATTATAGCGGCACGAGCGTTTTCCCTTGGTATAATAATCGCGGAAAATCGGTCGGACAAGGGGTAGCAGCAACAAATGGTAATTGACAGGGCCGTTAATCATTCGCCGGAAGTTCCACTGACCGTCACAGATTCTCTTCCACTGCGTGTCGTGTTAATTAACGTCGTCATTGGGTATTTCTCGGTGCATGAAGAAAAATTACGGTTTTTCGCATGAAACTACCTGATGGACAAATATTGAAGATATTTATCTTAACTTTTTCGAAATTTTGTCTTGAAAGAATATATTTATTTGGAGAAGAATACAGAAAAGAAGATATCGTCGAACAGACCGTGGATATTCGTGCAAATTCATATTTTTATTAACACGAGTAAAGAGTTGCTTGAAACTACAGATGTTACGATGAGTACCTTATTTTGCAATATTTTGTATATTTCTCAATATTATGTAAATTTTCCATAGTTTTATACGTTTCAATTTTCTACGAACGTGTAATTTTTATGCATAGCAATATATGGTCAGAAAGTATAAATATATACTATGAAGTATACTCACCGACGCTTTCAGAGGACAGCACATTGGCACACGCCTGGTAGCGGAAAAGCAATCGCGATTCTTGAGTGCAGGTTTCTGCTGCTGATAACGGCGACTTACACTCCCCTTCGCCATGACTATACGTGAATTCTAGGGGCCCCTTAAATGGACAGGGCATCGGAGCTGCCCCCGTGCGAAATAGGGAAATTAATATGGCATCGCTTCTCAACTCGCTGCATATGAATGGCAAAGTAGGTTTTGGCGACGCTGTGATGCAATAGGCTGGAAAAGAAGAATCGACGACGACAATTAACATTTTTCATTTCCTTCCCTTTTTTCTGTCTACATTGTTCCCCGTCTTTCAAGTATTAATTAACATTCTCGTCATCGGCAATGTAACGTACCAGTGAAATTGTTTGGTACTTCGTTTTCGATAACTAAACAATTTCTGCAGACATTTGGAATACGCGTTTAAAATCGATTAAAGCAGGTATCTATAACGTGCGAGACTTACTTTCTTTATACTGAAGAACATTCGGATGCTTCATGTGCATGACGATGCATCTATAGCAATCTATCTCTCTGTAACAAAGAAAAAGAAAATTCTGTTATTATAAAATCGAATGACGAGACAAATAAAAAAAGAAATAACCCTGTTTCCTATTCTACGTTTGACACCAAATAAAACGCTACGATAGACAACAAAGTTCTCCTAAACGATTTCGCCCAAGGAAAAGGAAATATCGAAACGCCGTTGCGATCAAACAAACTCCTTCGAACACTTGGTCCATTCAGAAAACACAACATCTCCAACTTCTTTCTAACGTAACAGAGATCGCTCTTAAATACACTCACATCCGAGAAAATCTGCAAGAAAAGATAAAACGAAGTGTACTAACACACGCGATTCCTAGGCATTTGTACACGATGAAAAGACAAACTTCAACGCGCAATAGAGACAAGGGCGGTTAGATAGAGGGTGGAAAAGGGATGACTGGTCCAAGAGGGGGCAAGTAGTATCACGTAGCTACTTAAAACTTTTCGAGCTTGTCTTGTGTCCCTTCTAGTTGCCACCTTGCTTACTTAGCTCTGCTTCGCAACTTCTACCTTCCACTGTAGTCTCTTTCTCTTCCTGCCTCTCCCTTGCTTCCTGTTTCCCACCCCTTACATTCTCCTCAGCTTCCTGCTGGCTGCGACGATGAAGTTTACCTTCGTTTCTGGCTACCTCCTGTACTTCTTATCGAACGTCCATATTTTTCTTTTTGGATGACATTTCTTTCGACGTAATTGATTCTTCGTTATTTTTAGGTGGAAAGAGGTCTAATTAATGATGTGACCAAGCTCAAGTAATTTGCAGTATTTAGTAACATTTATAATGTATAAAGAATAAAGAATACGAATTAAGATTAAATAACGTAACCTAACTGAAATTCAAACTACTACGATAACATGCAGCATAAGAATATCAACGAAGAACTGGAAATGAAAATCTCGCAAAATTCAGCTTAAATAAAATAAAAGGCACCAGGATATTGCCAGGAAACTAGAAATCGGCAGTTCTATTCACTGCCTACCTAAACTTTAATTTAACCAAAATTTAAAAATCTTCCGTGCTTATCTAATGGCACAGACCAAATTTCTTCGCGCGTGCACAAAATTCGTCCGAAACAACGCTGCACATTCTTTCTGTTATTTCCTTTTCCACGAAAGAATCTTGCGCTCATTTGTATCTTGTACATTTGTACGTCTGTTTATCGACAGTTGCTCGTTATTTAAGCCTCGAGATGGTCTCAAAGCGCGAGATCAATGCGAGCAAGCATAAAAGCAGACTCGAAAGATAAATATATATGCGTGAAACGCACGCATCAGCGAGTTCAGACGTTTCGCAACGCGAATAGCTAGCCATTCGTACACTTCGAACGCGGTTCATGGTTCATAAAAGAGAGGACGGAGATGCGTGTGTGCTGGTCTCTGACGTTTATAAATCGACTGTTCCCAAGAATATCGTCTGGAACTTCGCCGTAACTTTAAGATACACTAATGGATGTTTTTCTTGCATTAAGTTGCACGCTTTTGGTAGCAAAGCCTTACAAGCTCGCGTAGAATGTTATTAGATTATTATAAAATAGAGTTTTTGTTAGGAAATCGATATGATTATTTATTCTACCATATCATCGAGTATTTTTGTCCCAATGTATTTTGTGCGTGTTTTTCATTTCTCTTTGTATTCATTCCTCTATCAAATAAAATACTCCTCTTTTTCTTACTTATTAAAACATAACTAAACTGCGTTTATTCTAAACTACGGTGTACACGTCTGAATATTTTCAAATGTCCTCTCAAAGCAGAACGGTCGTCGACCGATTAATTTTCTAAAAGTATAAACTAAATGAAAAATTTGTTCGAAAGAAAGGAGCGAGAAATTTCCAAATTTCCCATCAAGGCAGAAGAATACTCGGTCGATTAACTTTCTAAAATGGAAAGCAACTAGCCTCTCCAAGATCTGAAAGGCGTCTCTTGGAGCTGTTTCGATGGAAGAACACCCTCGTCCAAGTTTTCCACGTTGGCCTGTACATGCAGCCGATCTACAATTCGAAAGTTGTCCAAGTTTGTATGCATGTCAACGAAGCCGCGGACACGGTATCCGAGAGCGGTTTCTCGTGATCGCATTTGGAGTAACTATCAGGCAACCGGAAGCGAAGGGAACGCTCTCTGCCCTTCAGCTCGTGAACCGCAAACGGCTCGGAGTTAAACGCGCCGAACCCGACCGCTTTTGTCGACCCAACTCGACCACTCTCGCAACTTTTACCCAACCCCTTTCATGTTTCGTCCGTTTTTTGCATTTTTTTCTTCTTCTTTTTTCATGCTGGCTAAGGCGACGAATTTTTACTTTTTTTTTATTTTTATTTTTTTTTGAGGGAAGTTTAAATGTACCGATGTTGTCGTCAGAAATGTTGTTTGGATTTTTGAAACAATGTTCCGGGCGTAATTTTTAGTGATCGCAGTTATGGATATTTTAATGCACGATGTTTTTGGAAGACTTGGAATTTGAGTGTATCTGTTGAGTCGTTAGTTTCGTATTATTTTAATATCGTATAGTGTTATTACGTTATATCGTAATTTTGTTTTCTATATTTTATGATGTATAATAATGGATACTGTACAATGTTGCATTTTCAGAATTTTCATTGCCAGAAATTTTATGGTAAATGTTATAGTGAATATCTTTTCGATATAGGAACGCTAAAATTTAATGCACGAATTGGGAAAATTGATTTACACGATGAACTGATTGAACGAAATGTCCTTGGAAATTGAAAAAATTAATGGGCGAGATTGAAGTTGGGCTGGGTAAAAAGATTCGCTGAAATAACAGATTTCGAAAGATTGAAAAGTTCCCCCACGAACATTTCGAAGAATTTAAAAGTTCCGGGACGAAAAATTTGGGTGAGTCGAAACTTTAGAATGGAAAATTTCAAAGGAATGGAAAATACTAAAAGATGGAAATATTCCAAAATATTTAGAAGCTTGATGAAATAACAAATTTCAAGTAGTTGGAGGAACGAAAGAACCGATATGGATTATTCTAAGCAAAATAACGATACTATAATTACACATGCACTATCCAATATTCAAAATGCCTCGTATCAATTAAATTTTCGTTTCTAAAAATTGCAATAAAATTTCTAAAAGTACGCTCTTCTCATCGACTGACTCAAAACGTCGAAAAATACTTCAATTTCTACGAGTGGGGTCGTTGAAAAATCCAACTCGTTAGCCCATAAACGCTTTCCGATCTGGCAGCTGCGACGTGCTCTCAGGATCGATTCTACAACTTCCGGATTATTGCCACGACAACTCGGACGTTTTATCGTTTCTCGATGATCCGAAGAGTTTCGCGGCGATCCTTTAAAACTCGGTGCCACATCGACCGATCGTTCGGTTCTCTGTATCGTTTGAGACGCAACGTCGAATCGGCCACTTTTACGACCTCCACGATACTCACCAATGATCATTGTTATCGCTTACTTTTATTTGTTTGTTCCATTCGGGGGTCGAATTGAAAAACGCAATCAGAATAGTGCCGAAATAGCGGAGCATTATGGACAAGGAGACTCTTAAAAGTTATGTTGTTTGGATCGTTAAGTCGATAGTTATACCATCGATAAAACGTGTTTGATGACTATGTTTAAGTAGTCATACAATGGCAGACTAAGGATTTATCAAGAAAAATCCTAGAAAATAATCTTAACCTAAGCTTAAGTGACGTTTAATGACTATTTTCAAGTGGTTGTAAAAATTACTAGATTTTATCATCCTAGATTACGAATTTCTCAAAAAGATGTCTGAAAAGTAACCTAAACCTAACCTAACCTAAATCACCAAAAGCCTAAACCAGTCCTAACCTAAACATAAGTGATGTTTCATGGCAATGTTCAAACGAATGTAGAGATGATACTGATAGGTTTTTAGGATACGTAGTAGTAGGTAGATAAATGATTTGTCAAGAGGAGCCCTGAGGAGAAACTCTAACCAAAATATAAGTTATATTTGATGACTACGTTCAAACGTAATATAAGCAAATCACGCTTGAAAGCGGATAAAAATCGAAGCACGGCGCGAAATACTTAAACGATACGAAACTAGCTAGATTCTATATTTAGATAACAGATTCGATTCCTTGAATTATGAATATTTTCACTCTGAATCATGACATTTTGTCCGAGAAATTTGGACTCTAAATAAAGTTTCTCGCATCTCCAAAGATACCAGGCTATCTTCAAATCCTTCTATAACAGCATAACTATATCTTGCGTAAAGTGTACCTCGAATAATACCAAAATTTAACAATGTCCTTGCACTATCCCCTCCATTTCAACTTTATCTCCAATTAACCCACTCTCCATTGAAACTCCGAATGTCCTCAAATATTCGCTGCTATACTTCATGAACAGCTTAATAGGCCAATATACGAGACCATGAAACAGTTATAAATCCTAACCTATTCACGTGATTCGACTGCGAAATCCAAAGATGTAAACGTTACGACTGAGAAGGGTTAATCCGCGTGTAAAACGAAAGTAGGTCTCTTAACAAGGGAGTGGGAGGGGGAAGTACAGAAAGGGGTGAGACTGGAAGAATTTCATCCATAGGTTATTACGAGAACACGTTCTTCTATCGTGGTGTGAGAGTTGATGAGAATGTTGATTAAATGTTTCAGCGAAGTTTCGCCAGGGAACCACTCCAATTACACGGAAGTTCCATCGGCGGACACGGTGGTTGTAAGTGAATCCCGACGGCCTCGAATCGAAAGTGATACCGTAATTGAAAAAGAAACGAATGTAAGGGCCGTGGACCCATCGCGGATATCCAATCCGAATTTTAATTTCACGCTCGCCACACGTGTCCACCGAACGTATTACCACTGTACTCTCGCTGTTCGAGTTTTTCAAATTTCTATTTCAATAGCCAATAGAAATTCTAAAGTTATCTCGCAAACCATAACGAATTCTAAAAAGTTTCAGACCATCGAACAAATTCGGAGAAGCGAACAACCGTTTGAAAAAAAGTTCACCAATTAA